CAAACCCTTTCATGATGAAACGTTCAAAAACACATGTTACWGAAGGAATTTTTCACAGAACATTCATGGCTACTAACCAATATCTAATATTATGTTCTATGGTGAAATTTGAAAGATTTTTCTTAAAAATTATGKAAAAGACAGAAATGGCCAGTCCGCCACCTTTACTCAGCATAGAGTTGAAGTCCAACCAGAACAATAAGCAAGATAAAGACCTAAAAGGCAGAGAAATCCAAAAGAAAGAAGCAAAAGAGTCTCTGTTATGGAAAGCTCTAAACTTCATATGAAGAAAATTAAAACTAATAAATGGGTTCTAAATAATTGGGATGCACAAATAATATACACAATTTAGCAACCTTTTTAATAACAAATGAAAAAGGAATCAAGAAAGTATTTCATTTCCAACACCATGAGAAAAAATAAAATATTCTGCAATAAATTTTAAAAAGGAGGTGAAAAATCTGTATGCTGAAATATAAAAAAATCAACGAAAGAATTTGAAGAAGACAGAAATACATGGAAAAATAATCCAGGTTCACAGATTGGAAGAATTATTATTGTAACTACCTGAGGTGAGGTACAGATTCAATGCAAACTTAATGAAAAAACAAGGGTATTTTTCACAAAARWTTTCCAAGTCTTAAAATYTGCATAGAACCTCAAAAGATTCTGAGTAAAATGTGTTATCTTATGCAAGAAATCTGGCGGCTTCAAACTATGTACACAGCTACAGTAAACAACACATGACAGTGCAGGCATAAAGCAGACACATATACCTATGGACCTATGGAGAGTCCAGGAAATACACCTACCCACATACAGTTGAATAATCATTCACAAAAGGGCCAGGAATATACAGTGAGGGAAGTATAGTCTCGTCATTGAATATCATTTGGAAAAGTGTGCATGTGTTTTGTATACAMAACACAAATGCAATTAGACTTGCTTCTAACATTACACACAAAATCAATTCCAAATAGATYCAAGACAAATGGAAGACCTGAAACCATAAAACTACTGGAGGGATATATGGGGAAGATGTTCCCTAAACCTGTTCTGGCAATGCTTTGTTTACATATCATTTTTAATTGACACTTAAGAATCACACGTATTTATCATGTTTTGATATCTGTGTATTTTGTGTAGTATTCAAATCAAGGTAGAAATATCTGTCTTCTCAAATATTTATCATTTATTAGTGATGAAAATATTCCAAATCCATTCTTCTAGCTGTTTTGAAATGAGCAGTACATTATCTATCATCACTCTGTTTGCACAACAAAATGCYAGGACTTATTTCTCCAATCTATATCTTAGTATCCATAAATCAAATTTTTCCCCTCCTCCCTCTTGGACCCACACTCCACAGTCTCTGACATGCTTCTTTTTTCTTTTTTTAAAGTGATATGTTAACATGGTTTTATTTTACTCATTTTATTTCTTAATTTTACATGTAAAGCACATACAAAATTAAATACAAAAGTGACAATCATGYTGGAACTTATATGTCTGCATCCAGCTTCTCTTTTGTCTCCTTTTGTTCTCCTGTTTTAAATAACACCACCCCTCCATCTCCCAAAAAAGTGCATAGGAGATGCAATGGTTAATTTTAGATTTGCACTTCACTGGATTAAGTGATACTCAATAGCATAATTTCTGGTTAAGTGCTTGAGGGTGTTTTCAAAAGAGCATTTCTCTGCTCAGGCTCTTAGACTTGCACTGAGTCACTCCACTGGCTTTCCTTGTTCTCCAGACTACAGGTCACCTAGCATGGAATTCTTTAGTCTGCACAACTGTGTGAGACAATTCCTGTAAAAAACTCCTTGTCATCTATTTTTCATCTATAGATATCTATCATTTAATTCTCTTTTTCTCTGAAGACCCTTANAGGAAATCAATTTCCTGATATTTTCTTATTAATTGGTTGAAAGTTGGTGAGCTTAGATTTCTAGATTTTAAATAGTTTTTCATAGAATCTTCAAGACATTCTGGTGCTGGGCTGCATGCCTATAATCCCAACAACTTCCAGTGCCCCCCCCCCCAAAAAAAAAATTTTTTCTCAGGGCCTATGTCTACTAAATTCTAGTGCACTGTGATGCTTTTAAAAAATTGCATTCCTTTCTGAATCTTGATCCTTGGTATTAAGTCTGGTTTCTTCCCTTTGAAATCTGAAAATATATTCCCTCTCCATTAAATATTAATAAATATTAACTGTATATCAAATTTCTGACAATAAAGACATAAAATTAAAACATGTTGAGCCTAATAAAAATTAAAATCAACTGATTAGAAACCTTTCTTTTGAAGACACATGACCCTGGGGTTCACCTCCTTGTTCTGATGTCTGATCTCAAACAATATACTTAACAAAGCCTTGTCTGAATTATCTTGGTAGTAAAGCAATATAATAATAATCTCATAGGCTTAATAATAACTTCACACCCCACACCACCTTGATCTTAATCCTTGAAACCTTTGAAACCATGAATTTGTTACTTTACATGAWAAAAGGGACACTGTAGGTGTGATTATGTCAAGGGTCATGACATGGATAGATTCTACTGTATTATGTAGGTGTGTCCAATGCAATCATCAAGGTTTTTGTTTGTTTGCAGGGGGTTAGTTACCAGAGATTGAACTCAAGCATGCTTAACCACCAAGCTACTCCCCAGAACTCTTGATCTATTATTTTTAAGACAGGATCTCTCTAAGATGCTTAGGGCCTCCATTGCTGAGGCTGTCAACTTATGATCATTCCACCTCAGACTCCTGAGGCAATGGGATCACC